TGGTGTGGGGTTTCACACCTGACAGCCCCCCTGCCAGCCTCCAAGCAACCCTCTCCCTTTGTGTCAGCGAACAACGCCACGTGCAGGCAGCAAAGGAGGAGCTGCTCTTTTCGTGGGGCGAGATATTTTGGATACTCTGACATCTGATTCACTGCCAGTTCCGCACACGAGATGAGTTACTAATAATTGCAAAAATACAATAGAGCAATCCTGGCAGGAAAAAAAGCCAGCGCCAGCTGGGAGTACAGGATCCCTGGAGCAGCAGCAGCCCTTCCAGCCCACCACCTACCCAGCAGAGAGTAGGGCTCCCAGAGGTGGAGGGCTTTAGCCCCTGCTAAAGGCATACCCCATTTCCTGAGATGCGGAGAATGGCAGGGATGGAAACGGCCTTCAGAAAGCCTGCATACAAGCACGGTGCAGCCGTGCCTCTGCAGAGAGCCCAGGGCAGGGGCCATGGCATCTGTCCCTGGGACCAGGGAGGGGGACACCACAGCAATACAGCCAATGGCAGGTAGCCGAGAGCTGCTGGCCAAATGCCCTTCCTGAGGGCCCAGCCCTTCCATCGCGCTTCCCCACACCCTCATGTCCCCCCAACTCCTTCTCTAAAGCTTCCCGAGAAGAAAGCCTCCTTGTTTATCCAGCCGGGCAGCAGCTTCTTCCCTCAACTGTTAATAATATTCCAGGCAATGGAAAACCCTACCTGGAACCCCCCCTTTGATGTCTCCCGTGCTTTCATTTCCAGGCACACTGGAGCCAACACTGATGCAGGCAGTGGATTTCCTTCACTGGCACGCCAGGACCTTGGGAGTGCCGGGAGGATGGCCCCACCATTCATCAAACGCGCGGCCTTTGCACACCTCATGCCCTGGTTGATGGAGATGTCAGGCGCAGTCTACGCAAACGTCCTCCTCCTGCCGCTATTAACTTGTCTCACGCCATGTCTTTACCACATCTGCTATTCAGTGTACTTCTGCCCAGCTATCCTGCAAATCTTTTGGAGCAGAGACCATCTTCTCGTTGTCCGCGTGTCACGCAACACAGTAGGTTCTCTAAGTGCTGCTCGACAGCAAGCTTTTCTCTTTTCTTGTTTTAAGCAAACCCATCAGAAGTCTGACAGAAAGCACAAAGCAGCAGCAGGGCACAGATTTTATCCTTGGAAGCACCGGTTGCCCCTGGGTGCGGGATGAACGCGGCTGAAGGGACGACCTGACCTTGCCAAGCGGATCGGAGCTGCTGCCTGTACTACCAGCACTGCGACGGACGGGAGGCCAGTCAGTCACACTGGGGACTCTCAGACTGCACCGTGCCGTCTGTGGGACAGGGGGGTTTTGCAGGTCTTTTAGGAAACACATTAAGACATCTTCAGATTCAAATTGCTAACTTTTAGGCATTTAACACAGAAGTTTTAGTAAGGTGATTCAATTCCTCTGGCTCCTTTTGTACCCAGGGGAGAGAAGGGGGCTTCTTCAGAGGAGGCTGCGTACAGCAGCCTAACCTAGACTGAATTAGGCGGTGTGATGATCCTTTCCTAGATATTTTTGTCCTGGATTCTTCTAAAATTCTGCAGGTTTTGGAGCCTTCTCAGAGTTGTAGTTTTTTCACCGAGTTTGACCCAAGCTGTACAGAGCTCTCCCTTGGGCAGGTCTCAGGACCGTGCCTGTGAGGAGCCTGGTGTTCACCAGCTCTGATGACTTGGAATAAGCCTTGGGTTACACACCCGTCTGACAATCTGGGCGGCAAAATGGAGTTTGAGAGGGGCCAGTGCTGAGTTCCTGGTGTAGCCTGAGCAGCTGCAGTTCTACCCCGTATACAATGTATTGCTTGCCTATTCCCAACAATTTCCTCTAGTTGGGTGTTGGTTTTTTTTTCCACCTTCTCCTGAATGGTACCAAGACCCCTCGGCTCCATTTCCAGTTTGCTTGCAATCCCCCAGCTGGTGCACACAGCTTATCCCACCCAGCCATTTGTGCGTTTTGCCTTCAGACTGAGGGCGGGAGGAACAGCGGGGTTCAGAAATCCACCAGACTTTAAAGCTGGACTCTACTCAGCAGAAAATCAGACTCATCCTCTAAACAAATACCACCCTCAGAGGATGGCAGGCCTTCTAGCTCTGCTCCCCCACCCAGGGAAGCAAGATCATTCGTGTCCCATCAGAGGACTGCAATGCAGAAGCTCTGGGCATCGGCGTGTTTGGCTGCGGAACCAAGTGCTACATCAGTGCAGCAATAATCTTCCTGGCTCTCCCCAGACAAACCTGTATCTGAGGCTACCTGGAACCCTTCTGCAGCAAGATTTAGGCCTCTGCCCACATCTCGATTGACCTGGAGCTGCTAGAGCTGCCCAGCTATCTGAACAACACTGGAGTGAAAATCTCTTCGATGCTGTGTGGATGCCTGCAGGTGGATAGCCCAGGGACCAGAGGGAGAGGCAACTGGAGATGTGATTGAGGGGGGATGTTACCCTGCCAGCAAGGAACCAAAACATATTGGAGAAAATGTCAGGAAATACTAATGAAGAAAGACAAGGACAAAGGTTCTTTCTGATTAAGCTAGGCAGAGACAACGAAGCTACAGCGCATTGGAGCATCAGTGCTCGAACGCTGCGTGCACCTGGTCTGCAGCCACTCTCGCAGTCCTTCAAACTCCCCAGGTAGCAGGGAAGAGGGATAGAGGACCTGGCCCTAGGAGGGTGGGAGGCTGTTCCAGAAGCATCCCAACAGCTCCAACACAGAACAGAAGCCGTACCATGAAAAAACCCCAAGCAAAATCAGGTTTGAATAGATTTGAAAAGAGAAAGAGAAATCTCTGGTGACCCCAACCACAAGGGCCACGTCCTAACCTGGCAGCAAGCTGAAATAGGTCGTATTCTTTCTATACTCCAGATGATGTGTCGAAAGCTTTCTAGCCATCCCCGGTTAGTTTGTCTTCAGGACTGCAATAAACCCCACAGTAAGCTGTCATGTAAGATAAGCATCAGATTTACAGTGCAAATTAGTCTCTCAGACAATGGAGTGAGCTAAGCATTTTGTTGGCACCGAGGAGCCCAGATTAAGGGCGAGACAGACAGCAGAGATGAAATACACAAAATAATCAGAGCGACAGACACACAGCCCAAGCAGGGGAACAATTCTGTTCCCTGGAGCCTGCTGCAGCCCATGCTGCTCATGAAAGCTCTTCACCACCTGCCAAGCCCTTTTTCCTTTCCATCAATGACCTGGCCTTTTCAAGGGTCCCTTCAGCTTCACTTCACCCCACGTCAGCTTAGAACAGAAGAAGAAGGAGAAAAAGAGATGAATAAAACGCACTCCTGTGCGGACGCCGGCTCTCTGGGCTGGGTTGGCACCCCACACAACAGGGTCTCCTCCTCGGCCGCAGCCCTC